TCTCTCTCTCTCTCTCTCTCTCTCTCTCTCTCTCTCTCTCTCTCTCTCTCTCTTTCTCTCTCTTGTCCTGGCTGTCTTGGAACTCAATCTGTAGACCAGGCTAGCCTTGAACTCAGAGATGTGCCTGTCTCTGCCTCAAGTGCTGGGATTAAAGGAGTGCGCCATCACAGCCTGGCTCATGCCCTCTTCTTATCGTTAACTTGGTCTCACAACCTCTCACCTCATTAATGGGCATGACATTGCCTATATCTCAAGTCCCATAAACTGGACCTGGGATGAGACACCCTCAACACAGGCGCCTGCCCCCACACTGTGCCTTTGAAGATCTGAAACTCACCTTGATAAAACAACTCCTTATGCAGAGTCCCCTTAGCATTGCCACAGGTCACCGGAAGCTCACTTTTGCTAAAATCCACATCTGCTTTTCTGGGAATTCTCGGACCTGCAGGGACACGTTTCACTTTATTCGAGAACTGTGCGGGGCCTTCCCTCTACCCACTTTGGTATCTTGCTTGTACAACTAAAAATGCAATAGGTTTTCACATGAATTAGTTACATTTGATAATATAGCACATAGTATCTCATTTATGAACGGTTAGATGCTAATACAGATAACAACATGCCCTGCTCCCAACCTCTGGACTCCTGTACAGCAGCCAGAACCTTGTGGGAAAGAACCCCAGCTCCCAGACGTGTTGCCTAGAGCAGCCACTGCGTGATGACTTTCGTCCACATAGTTTGGAGAGACAATTCTCATTATATTAGGTCTTTGGAGTTTTGTAGACGGGAAACAACTCTCAAACTTCGTTCTGCTGTCTTACTGGATGCGTTTATGGTAGAAGAGTGGCATAGGAGGACACATCTAATGAGGGGGTGTCATCTCTGTCCTTTGATCTGATTTGATGTCTTTCTCCTTTACTGTGCTTGCCTGGGGCTCAGACAGTAGCTCTAGAGCAGCGGTCCCCAACCTTCCGAACGCTGTGACCCTTTAAAACAGTTCCTCATGTTGTGGTGACCCCCCAACCATAATATTATTTTGCCACTACTTCAAAACTGTCATTTTTCTACTGTTATGAATTGCAACATAAATACCCATGATTTCCAACAGTGATGGTCTTAGGTGACACATGTAAAAGGGTCATTGAAACCCCAAAGGGGTTGTAAGCCACAGGTTGAGAACTATTGCTGTAGATGGTTCTGTAGATGCTAGAGGGACCCTGCATACCCTTCAAGGGGTATATGTATTGGAAATAGGAAGCCACAAGGTCATTTATATTTAGACAACATGGTGTTGATATGGTTATCTGATATAAGCTAGCTCAAACATGGCTGATACTGGACATGGTGGAAGTTGTGGCGGGGGGGAGGGGAATGAATTAGCACAAAATGACTGACACAAGATGTCTGGAGATCCCAAAGTAAACCGTGATGTCACATGTTATATATCAGTTCTGGCAGTGTGCCACTTTAGTGTGGTTCTGTATAAATATGGCCTTGAGGTCAGAGGCTGGAACTATCACATTAACTGGCCTGCCGGTGTGTCTATCTGCAGGCCCGAGTACATACCTCCACTCAGCCTGCCTGCACGTGTGCCAGCATATGGCAGGGTACCTGCTGGTGACTGCCTGCCTAGCAGCCTGTATGCTGATGAATAAAGTGTGTCTCATTTTCCTGTCATTTCTCAGAATCTCTTCCACCTCCCAGCCTTCCAAGATCATTTCCTAGCATCAGAGCACAGACCCCAGAGTATGTGGGATCTAATCCCATTGAACCAGACTGTGAAGGTCTTAAAATGAGTTTCCACAGTAGTGTCTCCTACCGTTCCAGGCAGTTAGCGGGATCCTCCAAGATACAGTGTGGCCGGGATTGAGGGGAACATCCCACAGTTACTTTAGAGTACAGTCCGTCAGAACAACAGTGGTCCTGGTGGGCACTCAGCTTAACTCCCCTGAAAGCCTATGTCATATCTTTACAGATAAGCAAATTGAGTTAGAAAAGGACAAAGGACTGGCTTAAGTCACACAGAACTTTGGGAATTAGAATACAGGTCTGTGTCACCACCAAGGTCTGTAGGGTTCTGTGGCTTTCTATGTGGGTAAGAAGAAATATGCTAAATATCATCTGGGTCTCGCACCTTATTTCCTTCCTCAAGAATGGTCAGCACATAAGTCTATGCAACTCTGGTTTCTTCCCAAATCAACTAACTAATCAATGGGAAGACGGGAGTCAGCAACAACCTGTTGTGCTGTTGAAATTGACCAATGTTGACAATGGTCTTAAGGTATGGAAATGGTTTCACCAGCCAGTCAGGAAATCTGACTTGTCACTCAGCAACTCATCAATGTTTGTTGTGGCATTCCTCATATGCTGTGGACTTATCCTGGGTGCCAATGAAGGAGCAGGTGAAGAAATTGATTTATATACACAGTGGGAGAAAATCAAAATTATGCCATTTGCAGGAGATTGGATACAACTGGGAGATCATTCTTTAAGCAAACTGAGTCAGTCTCAGAAAGACAAAGGTATGTTTGCTCTCATTTGTGGGTCTTAGGAATTCATACAGAGACACAAAATTATTATTTTGTTTTGCTTTGTTTTTTTTTTTTTTGACAGAGTTTATCTCTGTAGCTTTGGTTGTTCTAGAACTTGCTCTGTAAACCAGGCTGGCCTTGAACTCAAATATTCAACTACCTCTCCCTTCCAAGTGCTAGGATTAAAGGCAGGCATGTGCCATCATGCCTCCCTCACAAAACTGTATGTACAAATGAGATGAAAGTAGAAACGAAATTGTTTAAGAGACAAAGGAGACTAACAAGAGTGGGGAGTGGAGGTTCATGGGTCCTGGTGAAATATGCTCAAAGTTCGTTTATTTACTTGCATAGAAATGGCCTATGTGAGGCCTAAAATCAGCAATAGGCCTGTCATACATGTATACTAACACCAAGTCTTGGGTCTCTGTGGAAAAAAACATTGAAATAGATGGCTATAAGCTATTGTAAACAGGCAGCTTTTGTGGAAATTTACCAGCCTGAGTAGTCATAGACCTTGTAAATAGGTAGCCTGGGCAGACAATACCAACTTAGATAAGGACAAGTGAATCATAGGCAGAGTCATCGTGACCTGTCCCCTGAACCTTCACTCAGCTGATACCCGGTTCTGAAAGATATCTGTATTCCCCCTAAACACCCACACTCCAGTGTCATCCCCTTCCCCACGTCCTGCCTTTCTGTGTTTATAACCTCTGTGTGAATGAATTACGATTTGAGAAAAAAATAAATAAATTATTAAAAAAATTAAGTGTGACAAAAAAAGAAAGAAATGGCCTATGTGATCCAATATAATACATTAAAAATCAAAAAAATAATTTAGGACCAGGCATGGTGTTATATGCCTCTAAACCCAGCACTCAGAAGGCAGTGGGATCTTGATGAGTTCAAGAGAAGACTGGCCTACACAGTGTGTTCCAGGCCAGTTACAGTTGCATAGAGAGACCCTCTCTCAAAACATTGAAAAATATTCTTATTTATTAACACATGATTAACCACATTTTTTTACCTCTTTTTCTGCCTCTTTGTGAAGAAGGATTGACACTTTTTGTGAAGAAAGCTGAGAAAACAACATACATATCTCTTATTTATAACATCACATGGCAAGCAGCATTTTACAAAAACACCAAACTAACTTCCCATAAGTCTGCTTAGTCCTTTTTAAACATATCAAAATCCAGATCAGAAGTTAGGAACATTTCTCACAAAGGCCTAGACAGTAAATATGCAAGGTCGTTTGGTCCATAATTTCCTTTGTCATTCCTCAGCTTTTCAGTCATATTAGAAGCATCCACAGACTACGTGTAAATAAAAGGGTGTGTTCAAATAAAACTTTATAAATAACTGGCAAGCTAAGTTTTCTTTTTGGGCTGTAGATTGCTGACTTCTAATTTAGATGATAATTAGCAGGGTTTATGTGTTGACTTAGAACATACACACACACACACACACACACACACAGCAAGTTACTTTATAATCGTGATTAGGATTGTAATGGTCAAATCTGTTTGGATATTGTTGGGGAGTACAGATGGTTGTTTGTTCCTTCTTAGCCTGTGTCCACTTGGGAGGGACAGGCAGATGGATCTCTGTGAGTTTGAGGGCAGCCTGGTCTACATAATGAGTTCCAGCACAGCCAAGGCTATGCAGAGAAACCCTGTCTCTGAAAACTAAACAAAACAAAACAAAACAAACAAAAAAAACCAAAACAAAACAGAACAAGAAACCCCCAAAAGTTACAACTGCCACCTGCAATTTTAAAAATAATTTTGCTAATAGTTAATACTAATCATTCTATGAGAGAGACAGAGATAGTCAGGGTGTGAGTTTGGGGCTTTCTCAGAGAATCAGCAGGTGTCTGGATGTCTAGGAACAATTATAATAAGATCCTAGATCTAAGCGTGCTACACAGAGCATAGCAGGAGACAAGGAGTATGAATCTATCAGCACTAACCTTCTCTACTCCAGGCTTCCTGAGAGAGGCTACATTTAATTTCTTTTCTCTTTTGGTTGTTGCTGTTTATTTATTTGCTGAGATGGGGTCTCACTTTATAGCTCTGCAGGCCTGGGCTCAGTATGTAGCCCAAGAGAGAGGTTACCTGTCTCTAGACATTGCTTTCAAGGCAAACCAAAGGTTTGCCATGCTTAAGGCATGATTTAGGCCTCTGGCCCTGGCTAAGTTGGGAAAGGTGAGACTATCAGACTCACTCAGAAGTAGTACAAAGGTGAAGGTTATGCCTAGAGGGGTCAGTGGTGGCTGAGAGTCAGCAAGGGAATTTATGAAAAAACGTGATTCTCGTAGCCAGAAGGAACTCCGAAGATGGGAATGTGATAGGTGTATTTGGGAGATACACTGCCCAAGGTGACCGTGGTAGGCTGTTGATCTTCTAGGAGGGTCATTTGAAATCTTAATTTCAAACCAAGTCAGTCACTGTTAACCATGGGAAATGCTTCTGTTGCACTAAGTGGGAAATGTATGGCCATACACATGCACATATACTCACATACGAGATAGAAAGTCAGATGAAGGAAGAGAGGAAAGGGGGATTGATGGAGAGGGAGATGGAGGAATAAAGGGAGAGAGGGAGGGAGAAAGAGAGAGAGAAGATAAAGGGAG